AGTTTTTTTATCAAAATAATTTTTTCAGTAAATATATAGCAATATGTTATACTAATTCAGATAGATATTTGCAAGAGAAATCGAATAAAAAAAGAATGAACGAAATCGGTGTAGCCGTTCAAAAGTTATGGTCAAAAGTGTGTTAAAGAAATTTGCCGTCTCGGGCATTTCTATAGGATTTTGACGCTCGGACTTTCTATAGGAATTTTTGGGTCACATTTTCCATCATAACTTTTGAATGGCTGGATGGATTTCGAAGAGGTTTAATTTATTTTATGTAAAATTGCACGATCTATTGAATAAAAAAATAATCAAGGGATTTTATCTATCAGAAAAAAAAATAATTAAATTTTTAATTTTTCAATAGAAAGTCCGGGGAAATTTCAGTTTTTTTATCAAAATAAATTTTCCAGTACATATATAGCAATATGTTATACTAATTCAGATAGATATGTGCAAGAGAAATCGAATAAAAAAAGAATGAACGAAATCGGTGTAGCCGTTCAAAAGTTATGGTCAAAAGTGTGTTCAAGAAATTTGCCGTCTCGGGCATTTCTATAGGATTTTGCCGCTCGGACTTTCTATAGGAATTTTTGGGTCACATTTTCCTTCATAACTTTTGAACGAATTATTATTTTTCAATGGGGTTTTTTTTATTTTTCTTATCTCTTTGAGTTCTATTCAATGATGTATAATATGTACACATACATTGAGATTTGTGTTTGACGAGTTACACATGCTCTTACTCGCCATGTTATATAGGGATACTACCCCTAACTCAGGGTCTGAAAAGTCGGAAAAATGAAATTTTCGCAAATGCGATAAAAACGATCTTGGTGGTCTAATTATAGTATTCCGACATCAGACAATGGGTTTTAAGCGTTATTTAGGCCCTAACGCTTCAGGCTGGGCCATTTCGCTTACTACCCTATACATGTGTTGTATGCACTATTAGCTATATGGTTATATAGAGCTGAAGGTCTCATATGAGGCTGGAGGTTCGCCATTGTTATTGTGGACGGTTCGGCATTGCTTTGGCAAGTTTTGCTGACTGTTCATGCAAAAATTGGTTTGCTGGTTAACCGATTTCATTCATACTGGTGGTTGCTTTTCAGTGTTCCCGAGGGCCATTGTCATTGGGACATTGTAAGGCATGCCGCCATTGCTAATATTAACGAGTTTGACTGTCGTGTAAGCGGAATGGGTCAACTTTGGCCTGTTCGTGCTGTGCATAATTGAATCGCGCGATCATTGATCGGAATAACTATACATGTGATGTGAGTGTGTATATGAATGGTGCGAATGGTCCACCAGGGTTCTTGGTACCTGTGTGGTTGCGCCACAGGATTGAGCTGTACCATTCAGATTGTAGCGTTAAGGCCTGTACGGTGTCTGGTTCCTCTGCTAAACGGGGTTGAGCTGCACTGTTTGGGTTTTTACGTGAAAGTCCGGATGGTGTCTGGTTCTCCTGAAAACCAATGTAAAATTACCCTGGCCCACAAGGGTATATTATATAACTGTGAACAAACTGGTTGATCCTGCCAGTAGTCATATGCTTGTCTCAGAGATTAAGCCATGCATGTCTAAGTACATACCTTAAAACGGTGAAACCGCGAATGGCTCATTAAATCAGCTATGGTTCCTTAGATCGTAAATGCTACATGGATAACTGTAGTAATTCTAGAGCTAATACATGCCTTGAATCCCTGACCCGCAAGGGAACGGGTGCATTTATTAGAACAGAACCAATCGGGCGCGGCTTCGGCTGTGCCTGTTACATTCTGTGATGACTCTGGATAACTTTACTGATCGCAGTCGGCCTTGTGTCGGCGACGGATCTTTCAAATGTCTGCCCTATCAATTTGTTGGTAGGTGATTTGCCTACCATGATGATAACGGGTAACGGGGAATCAGGGTTCGATTCCGGAGAGGGAGCCTGAGAAATGGCTACCACATCCAAGGACGGCAGCAGGCGCGAAAATTACCCACTCCCGGCACGGGGAGGTAGTGACGAAAAATACGGATACGGGACTCAATTGAGGCTCCGTAATTCGAATGAGTACAATTTAAATCCTTTAACGAGGACCAATTGGAGGGCAAGTCTGGTGCCAGCAGCCGCGGTAATTCCAGCTCCAAAAGCGTATATTAAAGTTGCTGCAGTTAAAAAGCTCGTAGTTGGATCTGGGTCGTGCGGTCGCATGCCGCTGCTTGTTCACGGTTTTGGTTACGATCAGGACGTGTTCAGCTCGGTGTAGTGGCTGTGCAGCCTTTCAGCCGTGTCTGTGTTAAACGGGTGCTGGTGGGTTGACGAGTTCGTCTTGTTGACCTGTCGGCATGCTTCCGGATGCCTTTAAACGGGTGTCGGGAGCGGACGGCATCTTTACTTTGAACAAATTTGAGTGCTCAAAGCAGGCCTGTGCGCCTGAAAATTCTTGCATGGAATAATGAAATAGGACTTCGGTTCTATTTTGTTGGTTTTCGGATCCGAAGTAATGGTTAAGAGGGACAGACGGGGGCATTTGTATGGCGGTGTTAGAGGTGAAATTCTGGGATCGCCGCCAGACAAACTACAGCGAAAGCATTTGCCAAGAATGTTTTCATTGATCAGGAGCGAAAGTCAGAGTTTCGAAGACGATCAGATACCGTCGTAGTTCTGACCATAAACAATGCCGACTGATGATCCGCGTTGGTTCTATAATTGACATCGCGGGCAGTCCCCGGGAAACCTTTAAGTCTTTGGGCTCCGGGGGGAGTATGGTTGCAAAGCTGAAACTTAAAGGAATTGACGGAAGGGCACCACCAGGAGTGGAGCCTGCGGTTTAATTCGACTCAACACGGGAAAACTCACCCGGCCCGGACACTGTGAGGATTGACAGATTGATAGCTCTTTCTTGATTCGGTGGGTGGTGGTGCATGGCCGTTCTTAGTTGGTGGAGCGATTTGTCTGGTTAATTCCGATAACGAACGAGACTTTAACCTGCTAAATAGTAGACTGGTCCTCTGTGCTCGTTTAGGGCGCGGCTTCTATTGCTTCTTTATGGAGTAGTGTGGTCGTGATCCGGCGGGTGCGGTGCCAGTTTTTACTTCTTAGAGGGACAAGCGGCACACTTAAGTCGCACGAAATTGAGCAATAACAGGTCTGTGATGCCCTTAGATGTCCGGGGCCACACGTGCGCTACAATGACGGTGCCAGCGAGTCTGGGAACCTGGCCCGAAAGGGTTGGGCAAACTGTTTCATCACCGTCGTGACTGGGATCGGGGCTTGCAATTATTCCCCGTGAACGAGGAATTCCTGGTAAGTGCAAGTCATAAGCTTGCGCTGATTACGTCCCTGCCCTTTGTACACACCGCCCGTCGCTACTACCGATTGAATGGTTTAGTGAGGTCGTTGGATTGGTGTCGTTGTAGTGGCGTTGCCGCTCGACTGATGCTGAGAAGATGACCTAATTTGACTATTTAGAGGAAGTAAAAGTCGTAACAAGGTTTCCGTAGGTGAACCTGCGGAAGGATCATTATCATAACCCAAAAATATATAATGATGCATGCACCTGGCTTCTTGCTGGACTGTATGTACCCTGGCTTGGTGGTTATTACCCTAGGCTTCAGTGGTTGATATTTTCTTGACCGGGGTACCTAGCCTGTCGTATGCCCTGATGGTGTTCTCGTAACTTTCGGGTTGCCTGATCTGCCAAGGGCGATGGGACAGTGCATGACGCTATTGTTGTGTGCTAGGTTCAAAGAGAATTGTATGCTATATGCATGCAAATCCGCCCCGTTATTGTTCCTATTTCAAACTTTTACACTGTTGAAGCGATCCGGTTTGGCTTGCCATTCACGGGTTTGCTGCCTGGCATGCACCTGGCTTCGTGCTGGACTGCATGTACGCTGGCTTAGCGGTAAATATCCTAGGCTGCAGCGTTAACCATTAGTTCTATGCATTTGGGAAACCAATGTATGGGATTATTGGCGTACAACTTTGAGCGGTGGATCACTCGGCTCGTGTGTCGATGAAGAGTGCAGCCAACTGTGTGAATTAATGTGAACTGCATACTGCTTTGAACATCGACATCTTGAACGCATATTGCGGCTACGGGATATCCTGTGGCCACGCCTGTCCGAGGGTCGGCTTTTCATCTATCACGGCGCACATTGAGTCGTGGATTGGGCGAGTGCCTGCCGGCGTGTATACCCGCATATCAACGCGGGTTGCTGGTCAAAGGCTCCGTCCTAATAGTCCGGCCACAGCCTAGTCCGGTCTAGATGACTTGATTGAGATGCTGCGGTGGGTTGTGCTCGAGTCGTGGCTTAATGACATTATACACGCTCGGGAAGAATCGCACCTATCGTACGCTACGTTGGTCACTTGATCTTGTCTCTATGGTTCGGTCTATGGTTTGTACCGATGGTGTGTGTAATACGCACGAATTGTATAATTGACCCTGACCTCGGATCAGACGTGATTACCCGCTGAACTTAAGCATATCACTAAGCGGAGGAAAAGAAACTAACAAGGATTCCCTTAGTAACTGCGAGTGAACAGGGATTAGCCCAACACCGAAGCCTGCGGTTAATTGATCGTGAGGCAATGTGGTGTTTAGGTTGGCTTCAGACATTACTGCTCTGCCCCAAGTCCAGCAATGAGTACGGCTTCCCATTCTGGCCCAAAGAGGGTGAAAGGCCCGTGGGGGTAGAGATCAAGTGTGACAGTTCTGTTCTGAGCTACCCTTGGAGTCGGGTTGTTTGTGAATGCAGCCCAAAGTGGGTGGTAGACTCCATCCAAGGCTAAATACTTACACGAGTCCGATAGCAAACAAGTACCGTGAGGGAAAGTTGAAAAGTACTTTGAAGAGAGAGTAAACAGTGCGTGAAACCGTTCAAAGGTAAACAGGTGGAGTTGAACTGCAAGCTCTGGGAATTCAGCTGATGAGTGTGATTTGTGCTTGGGCATACTGGCCGCCTTTAGTGTCTGCTTAACCGCAGGTGCCTGCCTTTTTGGTGGG